TGATATGTTGATTGCTGCGAAGAACATGGATGATGTTATCGGTTTGAAAACTTTATTGAGTCAGGAATTTGATATGAAAGATTTAGGTGCTGCAAAGAAAATTCTTAGAATGGAAATTTGCAGGGACAGAGACTCAAGGAGACTGTGGCTATCTCAACGGGGTTATGTTGAATAAATGCTAGAAAGGTTTGCGATGAGCAGCGCAAAACCAATTAGCACTCCATTGGCGAACCACTTTAAGCTCTCATCAGAACAATGCCCTAAGACAGATAAGGAAGCTGAAGATATGGCAAAGGTTCCGTATTCTAATGTTGTTGGCTGCTTGATGTATGCAATGGTATGTACTCGTCCTGATTTAGCTCATGCTGTTAGTCAAGTTGGTAAGTACATGTCTAAACCTGGTAAGCAACATTGGGAAGCAGTCAAGTGGATCTTTCGATACTTAAAGGGTACTGTGGGACGTGGAATTGTTTTTGGTAGTCAACGAGATAATCCTTTGGTTGTAGGATATGTGGATTCAGACTATGCAGGTGACTTGGATAATAGAAGATCTACGACAGGGTATGTTTTTACTCTTGGTGGAGGACCTATTTGTTGGAAGTCTACTGTTCAATCTGTAGTGGCACTATCTACAACTGAAGCTGAGTACATGGCAGCGGCTGAAGCTGTAAAAGAAGCTTTATGGCTCACTGGTTTAGTGAAGGAGTTGGGTGTTCAGCAAGGTGGAGTTTAGCTGCTTTGCGACAATCAAAGTGCTATTCACTTAGCTAAGAATCAGGTATATCGTGCTAGAACTAAGCACATTGATGTACGTTTTCACAAGACCAGAGAGTTGGTTGCATCTGAAGAGATTTTGTTTCAGAAGGTACACACTGATGAGAATGCCGCTGATATGTTCACCAAGCTAGTTACGACAGACAAGTCCAAGCATTGCTTGGACTTGTTGAATGTTTCAAGTTGTTAAAAAACTAAGGTAACCCAACCCACATTGAATGTTTCCTAAGGGGCAGGATATTCGCCAAGGTGGAGATTTGTAAGGTATGGCTCATAAATATACCGGTAAAGAGGACAGGGGATGGAGCGGAGTGAGCGAAGCGAACGCAGCGAACATCAACTGTCCTTACAAAAAGTCTTGTAGAGGGGGTTACGATTATGTGGGTAGGGGTGCGGGGGTTGCGGCCCCGCGGTACGGTACAGGTTTAATTTTGTAATTATGTACAAGGGTTTTCTATTATAAATAGAGATATAACCTAAACCTATGTGAATAGAATAAAATTTTCTAGCGCTGCCTAGGCACCGATGACGTAAGCACATTGCCGAACCTCGTTAAAATTCTTGTGTTCTTTCGTTTACTTTCCCCGATTTATCAACATTTTCTTTAAAAAATTTAAATTCATAAAATTTATATATATTTTTTTACAAAATTGAAAATATAAAAAGGTTTAATGAAATGGTAAAATTTTATTTTAACCCATGAACTCCATATAAAAATTTAATTATAGATTTTATTTTATAAATTTAAAATAATTTAAGGATAAATTTTTAATTTAACATTCGTATAATTTTTATTATTTAATGACAGAATAATGATATTTAAAAATAATTAAGGGCATTTTAGTCCAAAACATCGGTAATCCAACAATCCCTAAGGAAATGGAGATAATGACATTCCCGGTAATATACCCCAAAAAATCCACTATTAGTAATGTAAGATTACCGGGAATGATATTCCCAGCCAACCAAACGGGAGAATGTGGATTTCCTTCCCATAAGAATCTCACATTCCCCAACTAAATACATCCTTAATGCATTCCGCTTGAAACCTAAAATGTTAATGTATTCACCATATTTATAATTTATAACTTATTTTCTTATCTTGTATAGTATTTTAGTACAATTTATTATGTTACTCTAATTGATAATTCTTTTCAATTCTAACTTATAACATTATAGATAATACTTTTTAACATATAATTTTTTACTGATCACGCTATTTACTATTAACTTTATTTTATACCACCCACAGTATAACTCTCCGTACATTTGGTAAGGAATGTCGATTGTAGGAATTGGGAGTGCACGCAAGGTGAAAGCACGTTGAGGTGTAGTAATTAGCAGTTCATCTGATTGGATTGTCAGTATAGTGTGTAGTTGATAAATCCACATAACTAGACATTTTTTCCGAAAAATCATATGATAATTTTTTTTCGTGTCAGATATATTTTTAAAGTTTTATTGATTTAACATATTTTATAGAAAGACATATCATTATTTGTGTTTTATGTTGATGTGATGTTAATTCGAATAAAATACGTTTAATATGTAATTAATTTCTGTTAGAGTTATTTTTATGTAAAAACGTCACAAAATATTAAGTAAGTAAATTTATTTTTTGGAAAAAATATAAAATTTAATTAGCTAAACATTTTTATTTCTTATATTCTGAAAAATTAAGTCATATGACCATAAAGAAAATCACGTGACTTTCACACTTATCATTTTCTTCAAATAATTTTTTTTTTAATAAAATTTTTCATTAAACCGTGGAAATAAGAATAAAATACATTTTTTCTTCAACAATAATAATAATAATAATGAAAAATAGTGTCAATAAACTTTGTCTCGTCTATTGATTTTGTCATTATTTAACCAATAAACTAGTGATGTTTATCCTAGACAAACCAACGTTGAAATTTATACTTAAGTTTTTATCCTTGATTTTTCAAAAAAAATATTTTATTATTATATTTTTAATTCGTTTTATTTTGATAATTGAGTCTTTAATTTGTATTCTTTTAATGGCATCACACATTAATAAAAATTAATGAGTTAATGCTAGTGAACCTTTAAATTGTGTTATCCCCTTAAGCAGCGTATCCCCTTAAATCATAGTGTTTTATAAGAATTCACTAATTATTCATTCAATCAGTGTATCATAAACATATTAAAATATATATTTATAATAATTTTATACTCGATATATAAATATTATCTCAACGTATCTAAGAATAACTTAGAAGCTCAATTAAATTTAAAAATGTATCAACGCAAAAAGGTTGGTTAAATAATGACAAAATCAATAGACGAGACAAATTTTATTGCACTATTTTCATTATTATTATTATTGAAGAAAAAAATGTATTTTTTATTTTTATTATCTTATTTTCAGATTTAATGAAATTTTTATTAAAAAAGAAAAAAAATAATTATTTGAAGAAAATGATAAGTACGAAAGGCACATGATTTTTTTATGATTAAGACTTAAATTTTCAGAAGAGAAGAAATAAAAATGATTGACTAATTAATTTTTTTTTTCAAAAAGCCAAAACAAAGTTAATTCTTTAATATTTTATGGCGTTTTTACACAAAAACCATCTTAATAGAAGTTATTACCTGTCAAACACCGTTTCAAAAAATTTTATGAATCTAACACTCATTTCATAAAGGCACGGATCATTATCCGTACGGATCATCATCCTCGCTTTATTCGAGTTGATGTCATACCAGCGTAAAGCGCTAATAATGATTCGTACATTTTTACAAAAATGCTAATCGTTAAAATTTTAAAAAAAAATTATCTGACACATAAATAAAATATATCATGATGATTTTTTTTTTGTAAAATCACCACATAACTAAACGAGAAAAGCAGAGTTTATATATTAAAATAAAATTTAAACCAAACCTCAGAGATAATGGTGTAGAATCCCAAGGAAATTTTTTATTATATTCTTGAAAAGGCAGTGAATTGTTATCACGTCACCATTCCCATACCTAAATTTAAAGTTTTTTACTGTATTTTATTTATTTATTTGGAATGTTAAATTTTACAAGGACTTCGTTTTTGTTAGGCAAATGGTTTTTCAGTATTTACAACATATAGACAGATTTCAAAAACATATAATTAATGCATGACGTGCTTTATTTTAATAAAAGTAATCATGTAAAAATGTTTGTCTTAACCATTGATTATGTTATTATCGTGGGGTTTGTTAAAGAGTGTTTTATGACCAACTCATATACATTTATTTATTTTGGTAAGATATGTTTAGTAAAATAACATTATAGGAAAGAACTATTAAAAAACATTATAGGAAATTAGTAAATAAATCATATTATCACCACCTCTCAGATTTTGGAAATTGTTTATGTTTTAATAAAGTAGCCAAATATTATTAATATCCAGAATTCAAATTCATAAAATTTTGTTGTTGTCCTTTCTATGGAGTGGTTTGCTGTTGATGAGATTGGTGTAGCGGATCCTGGCAAATCATATTTAGCCCCATGAATTTCACCGGTGGGTATATTTTTCACTCAACTGGGTATTTCTATTTTTCTGCATCCTTGTAGTTAATCATATTTATGGGTTTTTAATCGAGTGATCATGATTTTATATTATTTAAAGAAATTACATATATTTTTAATTATTTATAAGATGAAAGCGTAACTGATAAGTTATGTTTTTGTCTTATATAATACACTAACTCAATAATCTTAAATATTAAATAAAACTTGGAACGAGGTCTCTCCTCTATTGCATATATTGTTGTCTGTTGTTATCCAGAGATTTGGGCAATGCTGTTTTTAAGGATATTTATAATATATATATATATATTCAGACAGAATTTATCGATTTTTCTAAATGTTATACTTTATCTAATTTATGACTAAGATTTATTTTCACAATCCCCAGTACTCCATGGCAGTGGAAGCAGCAGCAAATCAGAGCAACTTGGTTCAAATCCTTCGTAATATAAAGAAAGAGTTGGTACCCAACAGAACTTCCTGTAAGGCACTCAAATGCCCGAAATCTGAGAGATTGGCCCCCTCAACTCCCTTTTTTTTCCCTTTCAAACCTCGCTCTTTTTCCTTGTACTTATATCTTAACCCGGCCCTTTTCATTTTCCTTTTACTTTTGCTTTATTCCCTCTTTGCGGTTTTACTGTATAAATTCAGCAATCACCCTTCAACCCCCCATTGCTCAAAGCTCAAAGCTCAATCACCCACAATGAAAGAGTACTGGACTTCATTTGCTTCGTTACTTGGGGTCCTGGCCTTTTGCCAGAGCCTCCTCCAGCTCATTTTCCCACCAGAACTTCGCTTTGCCTCTCTCAAGTTCTTCAACCGTCTCTTCAGTCTATTCTCTTCCTACTGTTACTTTGATATCACGGAGATCGACGGCGTCAACACCAACGAGCTCTATAACGCCGTCCAACTCTATCTAAGTTCCTCTGATTCCATCAACGGTAGCCGCTTGAGCCTCACCCGTGCGCTCAATTCAAGCTCCATTACATTCGGTCTCTCCAACAATGACTGTTTCGTGGACACGTTCGATGGCGTCAGTGTGCTTTGGGAACACGTTGTGACTCAAAGGCAAACCCAGACCTTCTCCTGGAGACCAATGCCCGAGGAGAAGAGAGGGTTCACACTGCGGATCAGGAAGAGAGACAAGTCCTTGATTCTTGATTCCTACCTGGATTACATAATGGAAAAGGCCAATGAAATCCGTAGGAAGAATCAAGACAGACTGCTATACACCAATTCTCGAGGTGGGTCTTTGGATTCCAGGGGACATCCTTGGGAGTCGGTTCCATTTAAGCATCCAAGCACCTTTGACACATTGGCTATGGATCCCCTGAAGAAGCAAGAGATCATGAACGATCTCATGGATTTCGCCAATGATCAATCCTTTTATCAGAAGACCGGCAGAGCCTGGAAAAGGGGTTACTTGCTGTATGGTCCTCCAGGGACGGGGAAATCCAGCATGATTGCAGCCATGGCTAATTACTTAAGTTACGATATTTATGACCTTGAATTGACCGAGGTCCATAACAATTCTGAGCTTAGGAAGCTGTTGATGAAAACAAGTTCCAAGTCAATTGTCGTGATTGAAGATATTGATTGTTCAATTAATTTGACTAACAGGAAGAAGAATAGCAGTAGTACAGGCACCAGGAATTACTATGACCCTGAAATGAGATGTGGGTCGGGTTCGGGTCCTGGTGAAGACGGAGGTAATTCCATCACCCTTTCGGGTCTGTTGAATTTCACCGATGGGTTATGGTCTTGTTGCGGGAGTGAAAGGATTTTTGTATTCACAACGAACCACATTGAGAAGCTTGACCCTGCATTGCTCCGATGTGGGAGGATGGATATGCATATTTTCATGAGCTATTGCTCGTACCCTGCATTGATGATATTGTTGAAGAATTATCTGGGGTTCGATGAAAATAATTTGGATGCTGAATTTTTGAAGGAACTTGCTGAAATAGTCAACAAGGTAGAGATGACCCCAGCTGATATTAGCGAAGTGTTAATCAAGAACCGGTGTTCCAAGCAAAAAGCCGTGAGTGAGTTGCTGGGGGCATTGAAGACAAGGGCAGCGAGGAACTTGACAAGTGGGAATTTGAGGGTGAAAAATTCGGAAGATATTATGGAAGATGAAGAGCAGGAGAAGAGGGCCTTGGAGAGTCCTCCAAATGAAGGGTCCGAATTTGAAGAAACTTGCCCAAGACAAGAGGATCAGGATGAAGAGAAGATGAAATGATGGTAGAATTGAAGGTTGCTTTGCTTCTTCTTTTCTTAATTATTCAGAAAGTTTAGAGGTGTAAAAATGCAAATTGGTGTTTGAAGTTTGGACTAACCAAGATCTTTCAAATTTTGTTGGTGGAATGGATGGTAAACTTTTAGGACGAGGAGAAAAAATAACTTGGTTAGGAAAACGATTGGCATCCATCTTACTCTTATTTCCAGTTTAATAATATTATACATTATGTGAAGCCAATATAAGATTAACAACATGTATGTATATGGGTGTGGCAGGCCAAGCGAGGAGTTTCTTTTTCTGTTACTTGATAGTATATTGTTTTGCATATCATCGGCACATGTTTTCATTGCATATTCCTCTTGGGGGAAAGGGAGTGGCTTAGAAATAATGAAGTAAACCCTTGGGCAATTGGACAGCACATGCCCCGTGGGCAAAGTGAAGCTGCTATCCAGGTCTGGTATTGAACATGAATGGCTTTGTTTTCTTCTAGACAATAATGCAATACCCAATTCCTTTTCTTTAATTCAGTTAAAACGGTATTTTCCTCACAAAAAATAAAATCAGATCATGTTTTGGGGAATACAATGAAGTAAGTAGCAAGGTAGGTTTTGTTTCTTAAAACTTGGTTTTGAAATAAAATGAAATGGCATTGAGAAATTGGGTCCGTTGTTTTGCAATCAAGAGTAGTCCACCTGGGAATGAATGAAGTTGCTTGAATTGAAGCTGACATGGTCAGTGGATAGGGATTAGAGGCCTTTTGTTTGTATTTGTAGGGATAGATTGGGCAAAGCAAGTGGTGAAAAGGTGAAACAACCAAATATTTGTGTTGGGAAAAAGTAACCAAAACAAAAAGCAACTCAAAAGTTGAAAGGGCATTAGTTGACCTTTTTGAGTTTGAGTTTGAGTTGTAAGCCATGATGGGCTGTGCCTGCTGTAAACCCCCACCTGCTTACCATTCTTGAAAATAGCAGGTAGATTAAATCATCATAATCCTGTGACTGGGTATATTAAAAAATACTCCATAGGCATAGATTACTAAAAAAACTATTTGGATTAGATCTTAATCCAGCCGTTATGCATACAAACATGGGAAGTGATAGGTGGTTGAGTCATGTATACAATTATGATGATGCAGTGATTAGATTATGGTGTGTTTTATTTGCATTATAAAAATATCGAAAATGGATATGGTTGTGGACAAAGAAGAAAAAAGTGAGAGTAATGCCACCTTTTTTATGCAGAAATTGACTGACGCTCACATCTCTTTTGTTCCGAAGGAAACAAGTCGTACCAAATGAAATGATCCCCTTTCGCTTCAACACTACCTGCTTGCTTCATCCTTGTTTGCCAAACCTTACTTTAATTGTCTGAACTTAAATAATGTAAATACCTATGGTTGAGTCTTAATTTAGTTAATACTTGACACTTCCTTCAAAAAATAATTAATAGTTTAAATGTATTGATGAATAAAATGATAGTGATAGTGATAAAGATTGACTGAAATGGATGTTGGGATGATCTTATCCCTCGAAAATTTAAAATTTTGATATATTTTGTTTATATTTTATATTAAAATTTAATTTCACATTCTTTAAATTTTATAATTTGGTAATGTTTAAATTTTTAATATAATATTTTTAAAAAATTATACTCTTATCATAAAAATTCGTGATGAAACATGAAAGACTCCAACATAATAAGTTTTGAGAGTCATAAGTTTAAATTTTTGTTAGAGAAGAAAGAATGAAAATGATCACATTGTTCTTGAAGTTGTATCTTTAAGAGTAGAATGACCGAGATAGTGATTAGTGAGACTTTTATTGTGTATCAATAACAATAACATAGTATTATTATTATGAATATTAGAGGTACAACAAAATGTAATTATGTCCTATTAGGAGTTCAAAAGAGATTATGAATAGTTTAAGTTTTGATAATTGTTATAATTAATTTAAAAAAATAAAATTTGAATCGATAATATATGGAGTATTTTCTATTTTGGATATTGATATGCTGTGCATGATTGACTAATTTCATCAACGTTCTTTGGACAAGAGAGGGGCCCTTAATTTAGCAGCTCATGTTTCTCTTGTTTTTTGGTCCTCAATGAATGAATTCCTTGTCATGCAACTCAAAAATAAATGCAATGAACAGAAAACAATCGCACTTGCTCTGTCTACCTTTTCGTTTTATTCTTTTAATATAAATTTTAATCAAAATGTTCACATGACAAATGGTTGGAGTTGGTCTTAATTGCAAGCACCGGATGTAGGTAAATGAAATCAATAGTGCTGCTGCTTCAAACATGTCATGAGGACTGCCAATATCTTGACTTAATTCGGAATTATCTTTATTTTGGATTTTATATGGATATTTTTAGGATTTATCTTGAATTATTTCAAATGTATTTTTTAGGGTCTTAGGAGACTATAAATATCCCTTGGGGTAAGTCTTAAAGATCATCCTGGTCATTCAAAACATTTTTAGTTCATTTGTTTCTTTCCTTTTCTTAGTTTTATAAAATTCTTTTTCTTTTCATTTCGCTTTTCTTTTTTAAGTTACTTCTTTTAAAGAGGTTGAGTATGATTTTATATCATGCTCAGCTAAGTTTTTCGTAGCCGAAAGCTGAAGCGATGACTCAATTTCTATCATGAGAATTGAAAAACACCTCATACCCTTCGGCTTAAATTTCTCAATTTTCTGGAAACTAGATTGAGGGATCATCTTTTTTAAATCAAGATGCATTTACTTCAAAAATAGATTTTGACTTGAATGTTGTTAAGACTTATTGTTGGGATTATAGAATCAATTAATTTGAATTCCCTAGAACATACTTTAGCGATAGAACGCTAAGGGGAGATTGAGAACGAGTTCGACTTTCATAGAGAAAACATAATTAGAGTCGTTTTTTCAAAACGTTTTTATATTTTTCGAGTTAACAACGATAGTCGCAGTTAATCCAAACAAGGATTGATATTTTCTAAAATAGATTTGGGAAATCAATCAACAAAGGAAAAAATGAGCTACAAGGATTGAGCCTTGTGAACTCAAGCCGACATTTAACCAGAGTAAAATCCTATTCGATGATGATGGAAATTGAGGCAAAGCTGAAGCCTGAGGCTAATTTTTACAAATAGATTTTATTTCAAATTTACTTTCTTTCGATTTTTACTTTTAATTACTCTTGAAACAACAACCCCTTTTTTATTTTTCATCCCAATATCACGCCTAGTCTTGAAACAATATCAATTCATCGACAATTTCGATATTCCCTGTGGATCGGCCCTTACTCTCTCTATTCTACTTATTGCTATTTTATTTTTTATTTAGATTAAGGCATATTTATTTAACATAGAAACGAAGTGTGTCAAATTGGCGTTATTGTTGGGAATACGACAAATTACTGATATTTTTTAATGACCAGGCAAAATCTGGGTACTTTGGAAGTTGATCTAGAAAATGAAGCACGAGCTAGACAAATCCACGGACAATCACTTCGAGAGAAAAGAAGACGAAAAAAGGATGAATCAAATCCCAAAGGATCAATTGACATTGATGCCACACAAGAGGAATCGAAGAAACCCTAAAGCATCATCACAAGTTGAATCACATTCTACACTACCTACAGTTGAAGCTGACGCACAAACGCTGGAACTGATGGCCAATCAAACTATTCGTCAGTTAGCCACAGTGCCCGTGGTTCAAGAACCCATTTGCATTGCCCTCCCTTAAGGTGAAACTCCGTTTCAACTAAAAACGGGCCTAATTTATCTTCTTCCCACGTTCAACAGTATTCCTAGCGAAATCCCACACAAACATTTGACAGAATTTCATTTGGTATGCTCAAGCATGAAACCACAGGGAGTTTCCGATAACCAAATTAAATTAAGAGCTTTCCCTTTTCTTTATCTGACATTACTAAAGAATGGTTATTTTATTTACCGCTGAATTCAGTTCATACTTGGAATGGTTTAACACGAATTTTCCTTAACAAGTTTTTTCTAGCAGCAAAGGCGAGCGAATTACGAAGAGCATCTGGGGATTAGATAAAAAAATATGGAGAATCACTTAATGATTCTGGGAGCGATTCAAAAAGCTTTGCGTAAGTTGTTCACAGCACGGATTAACTGAGCAAGCGCTTCTTCAGTATTTCTATGAAGGACTGCTCCCCTTGGAAATGAATATGGTTGACGCAACCAACAGAGGATCACTCGTCAACATGACCCCGCAGGCAGCACGAGACTTAATTTCAACAATGACAACCAACTCTCAACAATTTGGCACAACATGTGAACGTAGCCGATGGGTTCATGAGTTAAGTACCGTTTCGATTGAAAATAAATTAGATAAACTTACTGAAGTGGTTAATTCTCTTCTTGCAGGAAAACTGGACTAGCTAGATTATGTGGGATATGTACAATGTCGGATCACCCGAAGGACTACTGCCTAATGCTACAAGAAGAAGCGAGCACTCAAGTCAATGTCGTTGGCAATTTTTCGAGACCACTTCAAAGACTATATAACCCACACAACCACACATACAATCCGATATGGAGTAATCACCCAAACTACAATTACACGCAGAACCCGAGGCCTAATTGGGCTTATTAACTGAGACCACCCCAACAACAACCTTATTAGCCGTTGAAGACATCGCTCAAGTCAATTGTTGTGTGGTTGGCTCTATCCTAGGAGAAGTTCCATAACCGTACTAAAGCAAATTTTCAATAGCTTGACAAACAGTGCTCAATTTGTGGGGCGATTGGAGTCACAATGTAAACTGAGGCAAACCCGAGGGAAAATGTGAGTGCTATCACCCTTCAGAGTGGAAATGTTATCGTACGATCAATCCCATATGGTGTAGGCGTAGAATCCCAAGAAAAATTTGAAGAACCGAAGTCTCAGGAAAAAGAAGCAATAGTAGAAGAAGACTCCTAGAGAGGAAGTGAGGATGGCACAAATTCCCAAATAAAAAAAGAAAAAAAAAAGATTTGCAAGAAGTCCCACCACTATTCCCTTCCTGATTAATAAAAAGGGAAAAACAAGATGAAGAAAGTGAGATTTTGAAATTTTTTCGGAAGGTAGAAATCAATATCCCTCTTCTTGAATTTATCTGAAAGGTTTTGCAATACGCTCGATCCCTTAAAGAATTGTACACTA